TCTTGCTCTGTCTCCCAGGCTGGAGTGCAGTGACGTGATCTCAGCTCACTGCAACCTCTGCCTCCCAGGTTCAAACAATTCTCCTGCCTCAGCCTCCCAAATAGCTGGGATTACAGGCACCCACCACCATGCCCAGCTAATTTTTGTATTTTTAGTAGAGATGGGGTTTCAACATATTGGCCAGGCTGGTCTCGAACTCCTCACCTCAGATGATTTGCTTTCCTCGGCCTCTCAAAGTGCTGGGATTACAGGTGTAAGCCATCGTGCCCAGCTTCTTTGAAGTATTTTTGGGTGGCATATAGGAAAAAATGGCCAGAGACAATCTTTTATGTTTGAATTTTTTCAAATTCTTGTACTAGTAGCCTACTTTTAAAAGATCTGCTTAGAATTTGGGTCACAGACTTGATGTCTGGTGGATTTCTACATCTCTGTGAGTTTAGTCATCTTTCAGAAGTATTATATATATACAAGTGAGTATGGCATATATTATATCAATATGCTTTATATATATATACACATACATTTAACTTTTATGAGAAAAAATCTTTATACAGTCATGTGTCACTTAATGATGGGAGTACATCCTGAGAAATGCATCAGTGGGCCATTTCATCATTGCACCAACATAAGAGAATATACTTCCACAAACCTAGGTGGTATCTCGTATTCTACAGATAGGCTATAGTGATAGTATGGCCTATTGCTCCTAGGTTACAAACCTGCGCAGCATGTTACTGTACTGAATATTGTGGGCAATTGTCACATAATTGTAAGTATTTGTGTGTCTAAACACATCTAACATAGAAAAGATACAGTAAAAAAATACAGTATAAAAATAAAACATGGTATGCCTCTATAGGGCACTCACCGCGAATGGAGCTTGCATGACTGGAAGCTGCTTTGGGTAAGTCAGAGAGTGAGCGGTGAGTAAATGTGAAGCCCTATGACTTCACTGTACACTGCTGTAGACTTTATAAACACTGTACACTTAGACTACACTTAATTTATTAAAAATATTTTTCTTTCTTCAATAATAAATTAGCCTTGGCTTACTGTAAACTTTCTCTATATAAACTTTTTAATTTTAAAAAATTTCTCACTCTTTTGTAGTGACACTTAGCTCAAAACACAAACACGTTGTACAGCTGTATAAAAATATTTTTTCTTTGTATCCTTATTCCACAAGCTTTTTTCTACTTTTAAAATTTCTAATTTTTAAAGTGTTTTTGTTAAAACCTAAGACACAAGCACGCACATTAGTTTAAACCTACATAGAGTCAGGATCCTCAGTATCAATGTCTTCCACCTCCATATCCTGTCACACTGGAAAGTCTCCAGCAGTTATAACCACATGGAGCCGCCATCTTCAATAACAATGCCTTCTTCCGGAAAACCTCCTGAAGGCTGTTTACAGTTAACTTTATACAAATATAAATAGAAGGAATGTGCTCTAACAATGAAGATATAGGAACCAGTAACATAGTTGTGTATTATCATTATCATGTACATAATTTATTACATTTTGTAATAGTAATTACTATGTAATAGTAATTGTATGTGCTAGACTTTTATACAACTAGCTGTGCAGTAGGTTTGTTTACACCAGCATCACACAAGAATCATGTGTTGTGCTACAATGTTAGCAATGGCTGCAATGTCACTAGGCAATAGGAAATTCTCAGTTCGATTATAACCCACGTGGTCCGTCTTTGAAATGTTGTTTTGCGGTGCATGAATGTATTTTATGTGATAATATGAGTCACCATCAGGTTTTAGTATTGTTAATATTATTTAATATTGCTACAGGGAAAATAAATAACTAAGATGCAAATGATCTGTGTTGTTTCTTGAATAAAAGTGAGAAAACAAATCACAACAATTGGAAGCAACTTTTAGAGTATGTGGAAAGTATAAACACAATGAATTGTGAGAAAGTAAATTTTGTGATACAGTGGATGAATTGGGATTAAAAGTAGTAAATTACTATTTTTATAAAAATGCCATTTAAAAATTATAAGAAAAAGTCACTTCATGATCATTTAGACTTGCTCTTGTGAATTAATAATATATGTATTTAAAAAGCATGTGTAGGAAACCAAGAAAAACTGGGAAAAGTAATTTAGGATTATTTATAAAGTAGAAATTAAGAAAAATTAGACAGGCTGAGTGTAACAGTTTTCTAGCTGTGCCCCTTCTAGTTTTCTTGAAAGTTGTGGCTTCTTAGTGCTGGGAAAACCCAGAAAAAGCCCAAATCTGTGGTTGAGTTAGTGGTTTGGATATTAGAAGTGTATCTGCAAAACTTCAGAACAAATCTGTTACTTTAAATTAAGCTCCTAAGAATTTATTTCTTCAAATTTTTCATCATTCTTCCTTTAAGAGTGTACATCTGGGGGGTACATTGTCCCATGCAGCTCACTTAGGTGGAGAAAATTTTTCAGAGTTTGAATTTTTCAGAATTTGAGGCAAACCATCTTGATGTTTCAGGTGCAAACAGTGTCACCGTGAACCACTGGACAAATGTACCCTGCACGCTGGCTCCTAGCCGAGAGGAAAATGGGGCCAGATTGCCAAGCCATGTACTGTGAGCAGATGCTTCAAAAGGACCAAGAGGCTTCCGCCCAGAGGGCCTTTCTATAATTTATGCAAAGAACACAAATGGGCTGTTAACCCTAGCCAAATTTACAACATCGATGCAATTTGGAGATATTCTCCATTAAGTATTATTCCCACATGACTCAGGAACAGAGGTGGTGAGTGGCAGGTGAAGGCTATACTCCTCCATTAAAATGACAGGTACTGGCAGGGCGCAGTGGCTCACACCTGTAATCCCAGCACCTTGGGAGGCTGAGGCAAGTGGATCACCTGAGGTCAGGGAGTTCAAGAGCAGCCTGGTGAACATGGTGAAACCCTGTCTGTACTAAAAATACAAAAATTGGCTGGGCGTGGTGACACATACCTGTAATCCCAGCTACTTGGGAGCCTGAAGCAGGAGAATCGCCTGAACCTGGGAGGCTGAAGTTGCAGTGAGCCGAGATTGAACCATTGCACTCCAGCCTGGGTGACAGAGTGAGACACCATCAAAAAAAAAAGAAAAAAAAAAGACAGGAAGTGATTATTGATGATCACTTTTTATTTTCCCTGGTCCCTCCAGAAGAGGAAACTGGTCTTACAAAGCTTTTTCCAGTGAAAAACAGTACTTATGTTTAAAGAAATATTTCTAATATTCAAATTGAGTGACACATTATTAATGGAATCTTAGTTTGGGGGATTTCTACTTTGAGTTTTACTTCCTATGATACTGGAATTTCAAAAGAGAGGCACTTAAAATATCCTTTATGGTAGGTTTTTAACTACCTAAGAATTTTTTATTCTTTATTTTTACTCTCTGTAATCATATTAGGACAGCTTAAAATAATCAATGGCTTTTGAAAGAAAATATTTACCAAAAAAGGTTAAGGAACCGAAAAAGGAACAACAGTAACAAACCTTAAAGAAGTGTTTATTGCTATTTTCTTTTTTCTCTTTCTGTTGCTGGCTATCTGATCTTTCCTAATATAGCTGATTCTCACTGTTACTTCTAATTTTTTTCTGAGAGCTTTTGAAAACTACTCTCTTTGAAAGAAAGCAAGGCAAAGCAACAGTTTAGTCTGTTTCTTTATCAGACTTCAATATTAAAATATTAGAAGTACTTTTGGAAAATTTCTTAACAAATCTTCTGTTACTTTAAATAAAGCTCTCAGAAATTTATTTCTTCAACTTTTCACCTATTATTCCATTAAAGTGTGTATATCTGGGGAATATATTGTCCCCAAGATATTAATTAGTTAAGCAATGTAAGCATTAATTAAGCAATTTTACATTGGTTTTTATTACAGTTACTGTTCTGGTCAGAATGATTGCCAATGATAGCAACCTCTAACAAATACTGCACTGAAGTTAATTGTCTTTACATCCCTGAAGGGGAAAACTGGGAAATGATGATGATTCTTTGAAAATAGTCATTCAATTTTTTTTGAGATATGCCTGTTGAGCTACCTTTTTCCTTGTATACATGTGAGTAACAATATTTCTAGGTATAGATCATTTATAGCTAACCAAGTTCCCACAGTCTCTGCAAACCTTTGTACTTTTCTCTTCTCTTTCTTTTCTTTTCTTTTTGAGGCGGAGTTTTGTTCTTGTTGTCCAGGCTGGAGTGCAGTGGCACAGTCTTGGCTCACCACAACCTCTGCCTGCCAGGTTCAGGCAATTTTCCTACCCCAGCCTCCTGAGTAGCTGGGATTACAGGCATACGCCACCACACCTGGCTAATTTTTTTTTCTTTTTTTTCAGTAGAAATGGTGTTTCACCATGTTGGTCAGGCTGGCCTCAAACTCCCAACTGCATGTGATCTGCCCACGTCAACCTCCCAAAGTGCTGGGATTACACGCACGTACCACCGTGCCTGGGCACCTTTGTAGTTTTCAATAGCTGTGCCTGTTCCACTCCCTCCCCAATCCACTGCCCCTCTACCTCCAAAGGCCTCCTTACCATGCCAGATAGGCCAGATGATTGCTTGCATCGTGTTGACTCTTAACTTGCTACCCTGGAGATACTGCCTACATTCTACCCTTGTTTGTAGTTTTCAGTGTGATCATATACCTGAGGCAAGTATGTTGGGGTAACTAAGAGTAACCTTTTTCAAATTGGTTTATAATCAAGCAAATTTCTCACTGGAACTCAAAGAGAGGGAGACAAGCTCCTTCTTTTCTCACACCTCCAGTTGGGGTATGTTTTTTCTGGTTACGAAGAAATATTCAATACTTTTAAATCTTGGCCAATTGCCAGATTCGTGATGTCACTGTGAAGGTTTACAACGGATTTTTTGAAGGTAGGTATATTTAAGACTTTGCTGTTATAACATTGGAGGCTGTTAATTCTCCAATGCCCACTGTAAAATAACAAAGTGGTGATTTCATTGTTTTCTTACAGAGTCAGCAGAGAGGGTACAACGGAGGAGCTTTCATAAATCATAAATCACAGGATTTACAATTTGGTGAAATACAAGAGGAGATAAACAACAAAGTGAGGTTTTTGAGATATTGGGAATGTTGCTGACCTGTAATACTGTTTCCCATTGTGAGTGAATTCCTTTCATTATGTACCTATTTTTTCATAGTAGTAGATATTATACTGCCTATATTCCCTTCTGATAATTTTGGGAACATAGAACAGTAAGATTTTAATATTTGTAACATTTAGCACCTGAGGGCAAGTGACAGCCCCAAAGCAAGAGTGGCTTAGAGAGGACAGACATTTATTTGTCAATTAACAGGAGGCAGAAGTAGACAGTTTAGTAAAGAGACACCACAATCGGGAGGGACTCAGGTTCATCCTACCAGGTCTTTTTGCTACCCTAACATGGCTTCCAACTCAAACTCCAAGATAGCTGCTCCAGATGGACATCTCACATCTGCACTCCCAGCAGGAAGGAGGAAGGGTCTGACCTTTCCTTTAAGGGGGAACACTTCCTGGAGCTGGTACTCAACACTTGTACTTAGATCCGACTGGCCAGAATTTAGTCATATGGCCATGTGTCGCTATAAGGAAGACTAAAATGTAAATTTTATTTTGGACAACCATATGCCCAGCTAAAAATTAATGGTTCCATTACCAAAGAAGTAGGAGAGGATGAATATTGGGACACAATTAGCCGTCTCCGCAATAACCTTTTAATAGTTTGCTCTAGATACTATAGAGGCTAGGTTTTTCGATTTTGTTTTGTTTCTTATTGATTTTCTTAAAGAATAATACTAGATATTTATATATAAACAATACTTTTTTTCTGTCATATTTGTGACTAATAAATTTCAATGCTACTTTTTAAAGTCTTTTATATTCAATGTTTATTAAAAGAGATATATAAAATGCTTATATGTTGTCAAATTTACTAATCATAAACATTGGGATTTTTTCTCATTGCTTTTAAGTGTACAAAATGTTTCCCATCCTGAGATCCAGAGATTGGATCAATAACTGCCTTCATTTTCTTCTACTTTATTTTTTTTTTAACTTAATTAGGTGTATGGTATGTGGAAAGGCTCTAAATCCATAATTATTTTCTAAATACCCACTCTAAATCTCTTATTTATTAAATAATCTTTTTCTTTTGCATTGATTTGTAGTGTCTTATTCATTATATAATTACACAAACAAAAATAATATATATATTTTTAAGTTACCCTGTTTCATTGGTGCTAGAAATGTTTTTGTAGCAGAATATTTGCTTGTGATGAGAAATTTTGTTGAAAAGTATTTGGATAGCCTCCGGGCACAGTTATTATCACTTATTACCTAGAGATAAAAGCATTTCTCTCTTTTTTAAAAAGTGAATCTAGAAAATGCTTCTCCACATGAAGGTCCTGTAAGCACTTCCAACTCAGTATGTCTAAAAGAAACCCATTATTTTGTAGCCTCATTACAACTCTCCTCCTGTAATGTTACCCAGTACTGTTAATGGTGTAGCTTTCATCCAGTCTCCCTAGCTACAAACCTCAGCATCACTTTCCTTCTGCATTTCTTCTGCTATTCCCCTGTGTTTGCTAATCTGTCCTGCAATGTTACCAGAATCAGTTTTTTTTTTTTTTGAAGACAGAGTTTCGCTGTTGTCACCCAGGCTGGAGTGCAGTGGCACGATCTTGGCTCACTGCAACCTCCGCCTCCTGGGTTCAAGTGATTCTCCTGCCTTAGCCTCCCGAGTAGCTGAGGTTACACGTGGCTGCCATCACACCCGGCTATTTTTTGTATTTTTTAGTAGAGATGGGGTTTCGCCATGTTGGCCAGGCTGGCCTCAAACTCCTGACCTCATGTGATCTGCCCGCCTTGGCCTCTCAAAGTGCTGGGATTACAGACTTGAGCTACCGTGACCGGCCCAGAATCAGTTTTCTCTGTTTGTTGCCACTGCCTCTACTGTCAGGGTTGCACCTTCTCTCCCCTGGATGCTGAGAACAGCTCCAGCCTCTTACCTGTCCATCCTCTGCATAGGTATCAGTTATCTCCCTAAATTACAGATTCAAATACATTACTTCTTCTGCTCTTAATCCTTGGGTGGCTTCCCATCATCTTTGGAATAGAGTCATTAACATGATATTCAAAGCTGACCACAAGGTAGGTCTACAGTAAACTTTCTTTTCCCCACTCTTCATTACTGGCTGCCCATGAAGCCTGTGTTCTGTCACCCAAGTAAATGGCTCACCTTTACTTTAGAATATTTACACATCCTTTCCCTTGAGCTGTTTAGCTCATAAACACCTTTCCCTCTCTGTTTACATAACCCACACTTTAAGTCCCAGATCAAATATCTTTGGCTCTTGAAAGCTCCCTTTATCCATTCAGTCAAACTTAATTGCCGGGTGCTCTATGCTCCTATTGAATTTGTGCACACATTTATCATAGCCCAGATTACCTTCTAAATTATTTAAGTTGCAGTGTATCTGGTGAGACAGTACTTTTTAAGAGGACTAAAGTGGCCATCAATCTTTGTAGAAGCAGAATATTACCTTTTTTGCGGATTTTTGTTTTTAAAAAAATCTGGGGAATAACCTAAATATTTTCTCTTAGTTGTACAACTGCAAGGTGAAATTGCTCCTGCAGTGTGAGGCATATGTAACCCCTGTCCCTCTAGTACCCCTCAACATTCAGAAATAATCCTTGGTGAAGAGGTAGCTATGTTTGCAGAGAGGCCAAAGAATATCCTGAGGAGATATGTGGAGATGCCATCCCTTTCTTTAAGAGATTTAAAGGTAGAATTTTCTGATAGGTCGAGAAGGTCCTGCTGTGGTTCCCAGTCACAAAAGCTGTGAAGGACGGAAGGGGAGCTTGCTTTGAGAAGTGAAGACCTGACTAACGACCCAGACTCATTACCATAGTCCCTATTTGTGGAGGTCAATTGTTTGTGACAGAGCTTGAGTGTGGGCTAGAAACTTCTCTAATCTGACATCCTGTCATGGTGGGTTTGTGAGTGCAGACTAAAGGACATGAGACTTTGGGAGCCCAAGCACGAATTATCACTGCAGCCTCTTCAAGAACCTGACTCAGCAAGGATGACTTAGCAACCAAAAGCAAGGACGCATTTTCGATAGTGACACCAGGTGGTAGCAACAAAAGTAATGAAAATTATAAATAAAGGCTCACAGTGCCCTGATCAAACTCTCTAATTTTGTCTTGTGAACTACAAACAGTCTCCATGAACTGAATAAAAGCCTCTCTTCCCAAGATTCCTGTTGCAGAAAGAGCTTAGATAACTCAGAAATGGGGTAATTCAATTGTTAAAAGTGTGACCATATTGGTACTCCAAGCTGGTTAAGCAGGTTTTCCAGGTTACACTTAGTTGTCTCCCCAGTGACCCTGTGAATGTCTGCAATGTGGGGAATAATCTTTATATCTCTCTGGTGATGAGAACGGTGATTTGAACATCGTAAATATTTGAATTGAATTGTTTCTAGCCCATGTTTATTTTAATGTTTATAACTACCGTCATAAAACATGTAACATTTAAACGTTTTTTATAAAAATGTATTTTCCATTTGCAAACATGCCTGTAGCAGGTATGAGCCACGTCAAATAAAACATGAAGCAGGGCTATCTCTGCTCTTTGGGGTCTCAAGTTGCAGTTACTACTGTATATTATCATCAGCAATATAATAAACTTCTTAGATATACAGTGTCATTACATTTTTGAGAAAGGTATTTTGCCTACTTAGGTTGGAGTGTAGAAAATTTCCTCACAAAGTCAGCCCCCAGTTCTCTAGTTGCAAGTTTTTCAAATTTGCTTGGTCTTGCTCTGTTGTGTAGAAATTGATTACCATTCCTTGCAACTTAAAATATAATTTTTCTTGTTTAGAGAGGAGGTTTCTAAGTGTGCCCTACTATTGGAGAATGTTTATGCTGACCACCTATAATTTAGGATACATAAATCTGCTCCGGGGAACTTGTGCTGGCTCAGCATTTTCCTCCTAGTTCGTCAAAGAGCCTTTTGTGCCCGCTGTACATGGTCTGTATTGTTAGTTTCTTTTCTCTATTGTTGGCTGTTTACATGAAAGGAGATTCAGTGGATTGTTTGAGTTTGACTTTTCATACCCTCTGTGAAACCACGTGCTCTATATTCCAGTGGGAAATAGAATATGCAGTGGTTTCACTGAAATTTGCAAGAATTTTTATTAAAGGACATACAGAGGTATTTCTGTAGGAAGCCAGTGTTGATCTATCTACAATTCTACGTCTGTACATTTATATGTATGTATATATGAGTATATGAATTTATGTATCCATCTCTATCAAACCAAGTATCTAGTGGCGTGCTAATAAATGTTTAACCATAGGATTTCCAGACGGAAAAAAGCTCTAGTTATAAACTTTGTCAATTTCTGTAGCATAGTTTCTTCCATCGTGGCTCATTTCAAGCTACCAGTATGTCAGCACTGAACACAGAGTTGGGAAGTGATGCACTGCAGAATACTTTATATGGTATTTTCACCATATAAGTGTTACATAGACACAAAAGACGTAAGTCCCAGAGCACAGATAAAAGTAAATAGTAAAATAACTAGAAAGCAATCAGTTTTGAGTATTGATAATCTTTGAGTGGAGTGCAGTGGTACCATCCTGGCTCACTGCAACCTCCGCCTCCTGGGTTCAAGTGATTCTTCTGTCTCAGCCTCCCAACTAGCTGGGATTACAGGTGCACACCACCAGGCCCGGCTAATTTTTGTATTTTTAGTAGAGATAGCGTTTGGCCATGTTGGCCAGGCTGGTCTCAAACTCCTGACCTCAGGTGATCCTCCTGCCTCTGCCTCCCAAAGTGCTGAGATTATAGGCATGAACCACTACTCCCAGCCATAATTGAATTTTTAATTATGGCCATGTTTAAGAACCACTTGTAAAATTCCTGAAAATTTAGCAGTTGGCTTCTTCAAGCTGGGATAAACTGGCTCCCATACAACACTGTATTAATCTATATACTTCTATCCACTTCCTTCCCTTTTCTAAGAAGAGTGGGCTCCTGTGGATGGGGAGATCTTTGTTTAACCTCATGTGTAGATAAGCTGGTATGGGGAAAGAAGTAGGACTAATTTGCTGAG